TGCCTAATTGTCTTTTTTTAGAACCTCCAGTACAATGTATAAAAACAGCAAGAGTGGACATCCTGTTTTATTCCCAGTCTTAGAGAGAATGCTTTCAGTCTTTCACCTTTAAAGTGTGATCTTAGCTATGAGCTTTTCATAGATGCCCTTTATCAGCTTGAGGAAATTCCCTTCTATTCCAAGTTTGTTGAGTGTTTTTCTCATAATGGGGTATTGGATTTTGTCAAATGCTTTTTCTGCATTTATTGAGATGATCCTGTGGATTTTTGTCCTTTATCTATTAACATGGTATATCACATTGATTGATTCTTATATGTGATATCGACTTTGCATTCCTGGGATAAATCTCACTTTGTTATGGTGCATAATCCTTTTTCTGTGTTGCTATTTTCTATTTGCTAGTATTTCATTGAGGATTTTTACATCTCCATTCATAAGGGACATTGGTTTGTAGCTTTCTTTTCTTGTGATGTCTTTGTCTGGATTTTGTATTAAAGTAATATTGGCTTCATAAAATGAGTTGGGAAGTATTCCCTCCTCTTTTTTTTTTTTTTGGAAGAATTTGTAAATAATTGGCTTTTAAATTATTTAAATGTTTGGTAGAATTCGCCAGTGAAGCCATCTGGGCCTCCTCCTTGTGGGAAGGTTTTCGATTACTAATTCAACCTCTTTACTTGTTATAGGTCTGTTCAGATTTTCTATTTCTTCTTGAGTCAATTTCAACAGTTTGTGTCTTTCTAGGAATTTGTCCAGTTCATCTAGGTTACCTAATTTGTTGGTATACAGGTGTTCATAGTATGCCCACATATTCTTTTTTTATTTCATAATGTCAGTAGTTCTCTCTCCAATTTCATTACTGGTTTTAGTTATTTGAGTCTCTTTTTCTTGGCCAGTCTAGCTAAAGTTTTGTCAATTTTGGTGCTTTTTACAATGAACCAACTCTTGGTTTTGTTGGTTTGTTCTATTGTTTTTCTGTTCTCTATATCATTTATTGCTGCTTTGATCTTTTTTATTTCTTTCCCTCTGCTTATTTTGGGTTTAGTTTGCTCTTCTGTCTAGTTGATTCAGGAGAAAGTTTAGGTTATTAATTTGAGATCTTTCTTTTTTAATATGGGTGTTTAAAGCTATAAATTTTATTCTAAGAACTGATTTTGCTGCATCTCATAAGTTTTGGTATGTCCTATTTATATTTATCTCAAAGTATTTCTAATTTATTTTATGATTTCTTTAGCATATTTGTTATTTAAGAGTGTTTTATTTAATTTTTATATATTTGTGACTTTCCAAATTTTACTTCTGTTATTGATTTCTAATTTCATTCCATTATGGTCAAAGAACATACTTTGTATAATTTTAATGCTTTTAAATTTATTGATACTTGTTTATGGCCTAATATGGTCTATCCTAGAGCATGATGCATGTACACTTGAGAGAAATGTGTATTCCACTGTTGTTGGGTGGAGTGCTCTATAAATGTGTATTGGGTCTAGTTGGTTTATAGAGGTTTTTCATGTCTATTATTTCCTTGCTGATCTTCTGTTTGCCTGTTTTATCCATTATCAAAAGTGGGCTATTGAAGTTTTCAACTATTACTGCTTAATTGTCTATTTCTTCCTTTAATTCTGTCTGTTTTGGTTTCATGTATTTTGAAATCCTGTTTTTACATGCACTTGTACTTATAATTGTTATATCTTCTTGATGGATTGACCTTTTTATCCTTATAAAATGTTCTTTTTGTCTCTAGTACCAGTCTTTATATTAATGTCTATTTTGTCTGATATTGGTCTAATCATTCCTGTTCTCTTTAGTTAGTTTGCATAGCATGTGTTTTTCTATTCTTTTATTTTCAACCAACTTGTGTGTTTTATTTTAAATTTTTTCAAGTGTTTTTATTTGCATATATTCATGGGGTACAAGTAACTTGTGTTTTTAAATTAAAGTTTGTTTCCTGTAGGCAACATATAGTTGGATCGTGTGTTCTTAATCCATTCTGCCAGTCTCTGCTTTTTAATTAGAATGTTTAATCCATTTACATTTAATGTAAGTACTATACAGTTGGATTTATTTCTGCCATTTTGTTGTTTGTTTTCTACTTATCTTATGTCTTTTCCCCCTATTCCTCATGTCTTCTGTTGTTTTAAATAAATCATTTTAATTTAATTTAATTTAGATTTAGATTTATAATTGTTACTTTATAAAGTTGTCTTTTAAATCAGGTAAGTGGGGGGAGGCCTTTTTCTTGAATAAACATTCCCTGAATTAATGCAAGCCTTTGTTTAATTTCCGGAGTTCTGAAAAAGTTTATTCTTACTATTTTTGGCAGTTTTCTTGTTGCTTTTTGGAGGAGAGAATTTTCAAAGGTTCTTACTCTGTCACATATCAATTTTATATGTAACTGTGAATTTATTTTATGGCTTTTGAGTTTTATGTCATACTTTAAAGAACTTTTTCCTCTCTACGATTATTTTAACTATTCCCCAATGGTCTTTCGAGTATTGTTTTAAGTCAACTTTATCAAAATATTATTTACATATAAGAAAATGCATCCATTTTAATGATGAGTTTTCACAAATGTATACACCCATGTAACCCATGCACAATCATGATAGAGAACACATTTCCATCAAAAAAAGTTCTTTCAGTCCCCTTTACCATCATTCCCACTCCATCAATACTCCTAGCCCCAGCACAAAAATAACCCTCATTATTTTTTTCATTGTCTTTGCAGCTGTCTTGTTTCCTTTATGTCATTTCTTATTCACCCTTCTTGAGTAAGTTACCTAATACTTTGTTTCCTTTATTTCATTTCATTTCAAAGAGTCAATTCTTTTACTTATGTATTATATCATTTTTCTCTTTTAAAATTAGCTATTTGAGTAAAATGCTTAATTGTTGTTAAAGAGTGTGAGTTTTCCCCTGAGTACTTCTTAGCTAAATTCCAAAAGTTCTGTTATAGAAAGGTCATCTCACCATGTCACCTGAATTTTCTTTGCTTTGCATTGCATGTGTTTCTTATGAAAAAATTTAGAAGGTCAGTATTTTTATCTTAGAAGTTACTTTTATAACTATGACTTTGGTGGTATTCATAGACTTTCTACCATAAGCAATGATGGAATTTATATATTTCTTCTTTCCCGCCACTCAGTTGATTATATTATTTTCCTTAGTATTTTCCTTTGTACTGCTAGATATGCTTCTTACTTCTGTCAGGTTCTAAAACATTCTAAATACATTCACACCCAGGTAAGTTTTTCCCAGAGGGTTCTTTTCAGGCTTTATTTTGCCCTTCTTCTGCCCTTTCCCAGCTCCCCACCAGACAGTCCCCAATCATTTTAGCCAGGGAAAGTGAGGGCTTAGTTGATTGATGGGCAACTTGATAGCTGCTGCCTCCACAAGGGACAGAAGTAAAACTTAGGTTCTGTCACAAGCTGAGACACTTATCAGGGAATGCTCAGAACATCCTGCCAGAGCTCCCTAAAAATAGCATCACTAGGCTAGCACAGCCTGGAGCCCAGGGCACAGACTCTTGTCCCTCCTCCTGAGGTGCCTAGGCCAAACTTAGGGTCCCTCCAGATGGTGAAAACCTCTTTTTGCCTAACTCTCCATGATTGTAACAATACTAGGTTCCTGGACATCTCATCCCAATATGAGCGAATACATTCATCTCTCGTTATCTTGGAGAGTGGGATGGGGAATTGATTCTAGGGTCCCCTGCAGATACCAAAATCTATGGAAGCTCAAGTTCCTTATATAAAATGGTGTGGTATTTGCAGGTAACCACACATCCACACATCCTCCCATATACTTTAAAACATCTCTAGATTGCTTATAATATCTAATACAATATAAATGCTATGTAAATAGTTGTTATACTGTATTGTTTATGGAATAATGACAAGAAAAAAAGTCTGTACCTGGTAAGTACAGGACAGGCACAGCCATCTTTTTTTTTTTTTTTTTTTTTTACAAATATTTTCCATCCACAGTTGGTTGAATCCATGGATGTAGAATCCATGGGTACAAAGGGCCAACTATATTTTCAAATTGAACAGTTTCAGAAGATATTCTTGCAGGGTCCTTAAAATCTCTTTGCACCCCCAGCCTGGACTAGCTTTCATTTACACTTGACCATAGCCACACCCTCACTATTCCCCTCCCCCTACCCCCAATGCATTTCCCCACTGGGCTCTTCCCAGGCTCCAGAGTTCAAGCCAAAGAGAACAGTGCTACCAGATGCCCACCCAGTTGAGAGACAGCCAGTTCTGGTAAGACTGTTATCTGCAAAAGTCTTTTATCTCCTGTGCTTTGTCCTGTGAGGGAACAGACATGTCTATTTCTGTTTCTGTCCTTACTCCTGCTTTTTTTCAGTCCTACCTCTCACACCCCATCTGTCTTGCATCTCCTTTACCTTTAACCTGCCCCCCCCACCTACCCCAACATATGCTGTCACAGCATAAGATGTCACTTGTTCACAAGGTACAGAGCAGAAAGCCAAAGAACTTTCTTGACTCAAGCAAATGAATCTGCTTTCAGTCATCATGGGAGAGCCAGAAAATACTTTTGAAGGAGACTTTTTGATGTCCCTTGAATCAAACATCGTAGTGTCATGACCATGGAAGGAAACCACTTCCTCACTGGTGAGACAGACAGGAGACCATGGAGCACAAACTCTGGACCAGAGCCTATTCAGTTCACGAGCCAAGTGATTAGTCAAACTTGGGCCCTTTCCTTCCCCATTCAGCCACTAAGCATTCACGTATCATCATTAGGGTTTATTTGGCCCAGCCCGTAGTGGCAGAAGAACCAACATGAGAGGCTTCCCCAAGACATTTCAGTCATATCTGAGCATCACTTTCCCTTTAAGTAAAGTCAAGACATTAGGTTAGATCTTAAAGTCCCTATTTTCCCAGATATTCTAAGGATCTAGGGCCTGAGCTGGATGGATAGATGCACAGAACCCCCAGGGATGGTCTTCATGAGTTTATAGCATGGCGAGCAGCTTAGCTGGATGCAGTTTGACTGTCAGGTGGATCCTGGGCTGGCTCACAGGAGGCCTCTCCACCCTTGTCCCCTCCTGGGAAGATGACCGTGGCATATGTTACAGGCTTGGAGGAGATTAGGACCTTGGGAGGCAGAGGGGGCAATGAGGGTGGGGGTGGGGGTGGAGGTTTCCCTGATGGAGGATCAAGAGGTAAACTGGTATAAGTGGTATTGTCAAAGGAAGGTGGCGAGTCAAGCCTAACATGTGGTACATCCAAAGGCAATTCAGCAGCCAGTCCAGAGTCACTGATGTGGTGGACCACTGAAGAGGGGCCCTGTAACAAAAGCAAGCAAATCAGGCAAAGAGAGTGCCTCCCTCTGCCCCAACTCCCAGGGAAGCCCAGGCAGGAAGCTCAGGACCACACTGGATCTAGCTCTTGAATCCTGAGTGTCAATGGGCAAGAGGGCTTCACTTTGAGGATTTCCAAGCTCCAAGTTTCTCCCCAAATCTGGGAAGGTGCGATACTAAGGGAGATCATGAGTGCCAAGTTTATAGCATTTAGGAAGAGGGCTTGGACCCCAGCTGGGTCCCAGTCCTTTCATTACCCCATCATCCTGGGACCTCTCAGTGAGCATGATGATGAAAGGTCTGGGGGATTTGGCTGGGGGCCTGCAGAGCCTCTTACCATGCCTGAAACTCTGCTGCTCTGGAATCGGCCACAGACACCAAGCCTGTTCCCTGGCAAGACAGACGAAAGCAGCACAGTCTGCTTCCATGGTTGGCTCAAAGCCCACCCCTCGCTCCCCTCTGAAACCTCTGAAATCCCTTTGCTAGTACAGACTCACCTTCCCCATTCCACTGCCAAACCTTTAACCCCTGTCTCTCCAGCCCCCACCCCAGACTGCCCTGAGTCTCCCCCTGACCCACTTACTGCTCCGGTCTGCCTCGACGCTCAGCCAACCTCCCAAAACCCTTTCCCCCACCTCCTCCACCACCTCTCCTCCCATCCCACTGCCCCACCCTTTCTGATTCCTGACTTTCCCCAGGCCTGCTCCCAGTGAATCTCCTTCCCCCACTCCACCTCTCAGCCCTGGGAACTCTCAGGTGTGGGGGCCTTGACTAAAGGCCAGACAAGTCCATCTGTAGGGAGATCGGACCTCGACTCCTGGCCTCACCTACAAAATGGTTGATATAGGACGGGCAGGGCCAGGCTGGGATAGGAGGATAGACAGCTACCTACCTTTCCTTTTGGCCATCACAGTAAACAGCACCACTGCCGCCACCAGCAGGCCCAACAGGAGCACGGCACCCCAGATCAAGGGGATGCTGAGGGGCAGAAAGGGGGAGGTAGGCTTAGCCCCAAACCCTGTGGGGAGCTGCTGGCCAGGGGCCCTGGAGCAGTGGCAGAAGGATCATCACATTCTTGGTGAAGACTCAGGCAGGACAGAAGGGGGACACATCAGGGTATCCTGGCTGAAGATCCACCAGGATGAAGGGACAACTGCTCATTGCTAAACTGGGATAGAGTGGTGTGTCTCTGTCTATCTGTCCAGAAGTTCCCCTTGGCGTGGAAGGAATCACAAGTTTTTCCCCTTGATTTAGTCGGAGCTCTGAATAGGCCACTATCTTCACCACCACCCTTCTCCCGGCCCCCCAGATCCAGTCTTGTCAGTACCTCTTCTCATCCTGGCTGGGTTCTGAAGGGCTGGCACTGCCTGCAGGGCCTGAGAAGGGGTCCTCAGCCCGGCTGCCCATCTTATGTGTCTCTTCCTCCATCTCTGCCTCCTCCTCCTCCTCCTCCTCTCTCAGGCCAGGAACTGAGTCGGAAGGAAACATTCAATGGCTGCATCCCCATGGGCAGTCCGTGATGGCCTGTGGAGGTCTGAGGGACTGGGGAGGTGGAGCCACAGAAGGAGAGGTCCCCACGAAGAAACACAAAGACAGGGTGGCTGGGGATGTCCCTCAGGGGCCTCTCATCCCGCAGGTCAGGCAATGGCACCAACTGTTTATGTCTTTACCTGCTTGTGAATATACCCACTTCCCCCTCCACCACCAGCCCCCACCCCCCGTACTTCTGCTTTACCTGCTCCACCCCTCGCCCCTGCACCCACCTCCCCTCCCACCCTGAGTAGGTTTCTACCGCTGGCCTCCTCATGGAGACCTTGCTCCTGGCTCTCATGCATCTCACATGTGGACTCTCCACATACTTGCAACCTGTAACCCCACCTGCAGGCTGGTTGAGCCTCACCCTGAGCTCTGCCCTCGGGATTTAAGGAACTGCGGGCCAGCCCTGACCCTTGCTGAGAGCCTTGCTGGGATCCTGAGACTCAGTCTGGGGACGAGGCTTCTGTCATCCCTACAATGTGTTTGACTTCTGGCAGCAGGACTCAGGGTTGGTTTCTCCGGGCCTGAAGATTTGTCTTAGGAAGCTGGCCAGTCCCTCCAGACCTTTTTTTTTTTTTTTTTGAGACAGAGTCTCACTCTGTTGCCCGGTCTAGAATGCTGTGGCGTCAGCCTAGCTCACAACAACCTCAAACTGCTGGGCTCAAGCGATCCTCTTGCCTCAGCCTCCCGAGTAGCTGGGACTACAGGCACGCGCCACCATGCCCAGCTAATTTTTTTTTCTATATGTGTATTTTAATTGTCCAGCTAATTTCTTTTCTATTTTTAGTAGAGATGGGGTCTCGCTCTTGTTCAGGCTGGTCTCAAACTCCTGAGTTCAAACGATCCACTTGCCTCAGCCTCCCAGAGTGCTAGGATTACAGGCATGAGCCACAGCGCCCGGCCCCACCGGACCTTCTTGATCTTGATCTTGAGAGATTCACCATTCCTATTCCTCACCCTATGCCACACAAGGAACTGGAAGCGCTGTGGCCCCCATCTTGCTGCACATGTCCTGCCCTCCTGGTGCCTATTGGGCCACCTTAGATGACCCCCTCTGAAGCTTAAGGCTCGCCTGAACTGCAAGGCACACGTTCCCTGAAAACCATGCTCCACTTCCCTGCCTGAACACCATCCTCCACCACGCCTGTCCCATTGCAGCGGGCTGGGGCTCTAGGTTCCCTGAACCCCAGCCTCCTCTTCCCAGTGAGCCTCATCTTGTCACAATTTGCCTTTTAGGGAGTTAAAACCTTGAGTTTAGTAGCTCAGAGTATTAAGGAACAAGGAGGACAAAGGATGACAAGGATTAACAGGAGTATATTTATAATATAAAATAATAATCATGGGTTTGAGATGACAAGAATTTTAATGACAACTTAGTCTTCCCTCTTATTTAGAAGGAAAAACCAAGAGAAGGGAAAATGACTATCTTAACTTCATTATTTGGGGATTGGGCACAGTTACTTGAGAAAAGGAAGACCTAAAGATGAAAAATTGCCAGCATTCATCAAAGTGGTAGCAGTCTCTGCTTCAGGTAATTGACCATTTTCCCTCCAGACAGACCCTCACCCCCCTTTTTATTAGAATATCCCATTTTTCTGAAAATAATTTTTTTAATATTTAAAAATTTTCTTTGAATAAATGCTTTCTAGCATTTAATAAATGCTAAAAGGCAAAGGTGGTGAGAATGAAACCTGTAAATTGTAACATGTTTTTTTATACTGAAAATAGAGTTGAGAATATCGGCTTCTATACTAATGATACTTTTCTCCTTTTTAAAACTGAAGGCATTGAAGTAATTCAGGCATTGAATGTATCCTGCCTGTAGGTGAGACATACTGGATGTTCATTGAAGACTTACGAAATTAATTAAGATACAAATTCAGTCATTTTAAGCCATCAAACCCATTAAGAGAGCAATAAAAAACTGGAAGCTATACAAATTAATTTCAGTTTATACGCCCAGATTCAACTTTGTCTAAAACATTTCTAAGTAGAACATAAAGGTAGCCTCGAGTATGTCGAAAATGCTGGAAGATGCAGCTGAGGCCATGGGGTAGGAGGAGGCCAAGCCTTCCTGAGGGGAGCCTGTGTGTATGGGAGGGGAGGGAATGGTTTTCAGCTGGTTTATCTCAGACTTCCCAAGCAATTTGGTTTCCGGGCCCTGCAGAGCTGTCAAAAGGATATCTCCTCCCAGTGCCTCTTCCCCCAGGGGCTCCCAAGGGCCCTGGCGATAGGTGGGGGCAGGGAGGGTGGGTCAGAGGGGCAGTTGCTGGCCTGGGAGAACTTACCTGGAGGGAGCACCTCCAGAGAGACTCTGTGCACAGTCTGGGGCCCGGCGGCTCCGTGCACCACGCAGCCGTACTCCCCCGCATCCTCCTCCTGCAGGGAGACCATTTCCACCTGCAGCAGGCCCCCACCCAGGTCGGTGAGAAAGGTGTGCCTGCTCCCTGGGGCTGTGCGATCCACGCCTGAGGACACCAGGGGCTGGCACCCCTCTGGCGAGACCCGGCACCACACCTTGCGAGCCTTGACATCCTGAGGCCGGTAGCGGCACTGCACCCGAATGGAGCTCCCCACGGGGGCCTGCAGCACCTCGGGGTGGCTGCCAGCCAAGCCCCGACCTAGGGAAGGAAAGGAGGCGGCAATATTGGGCAGGAGCTGGGGGCACCTCCCAGCCCGCCCACTAATATAGGGACACAGGGACCTACAGATGTGGCTGTGGCACCCACAAGGGCATCAATTGCTCCTGGGCGTGGGCTGAGTATATGGGGCCCAGAGGGGCAGCTCCTTCTGAACCTTACCTTCCAGGCCCAGGAGCAGCAGCAGGAGCAGGTGAGGGCCCATGGCTGGGCAGAGAGATGTCAGCGAGGGGCTTGCCCGGGCACTGACACAGCACTCCCCTGGGGGCAGGAAACATCTGCCTCAGGCAGTCACGTGGGGCCCTCGGTGACCACGGAGTGGGAGACAGGGCCTGGTGGGAACTCCAGGGGTGGGGATAGGAAGCACTTCCAAACCCTGTTTGGCTTGGTGCTCAGGAACAGCGTCTGAGGGTAGGGACAGGAAAGGCAGGGGCTGGGGGGACAGCTAAGGGGTGAGGTAGAGGAAGATCCCGGCAAGTGGGGGGCAAGAGAGAAAGGAGAAAGATGATCTTCTGGGTCTTCCAAATATAGAATCCGAGGGTGCAGAGCTGCAACGGAGGAAGGTAACGTGTCCTGCCCCTGGCCCAAGGCCATTCTAGTTCTAAATTCGTTATGAGCGCCCACCCCTCACCCCACCCCAGGCCTTCAGAAGATTGTCCTTCCTGCAGCACAGCCTTGCACAGGAAGTTCCGCTCCCACCGTGTGCCCTGGACCCGGTCTGTCTTTCTTAGTTGTCCTGGGCGCTCCAGACCGTTCCATTTGGATCCACGTTCTTCAGTTCTGGGAAACAGACTATGTCTTTGATAATTATTCCCCCATTTTCTCCCCTCACCCAGTTTTTCTGCAAGTCCTTAATTAGTTGGATATTGAATGTCATATATTCATCTTATTTTGGTATCTTTTCTCTCTTATTTTCCATCTTTTTGTCCATTTTGTTCTGCCTTCTAGGGGATTTCCTCATCTTTTTCTTCCATCCCTTCTATTATTGTCTTTTAAAATTCTATCCTTTAATATTTTAAATTCATGAGACAAGATCTCTTATTCTCCGAGAATTTCTTACTCATGGTGCACAATTTTTGTTTCATGAATGCGCTATTTTCTCTGTTGGGAGACAATTCTCCAGGAATATTTTCACATTTCTTCATGTTCTGGACCTTCTGAGTAAAGGGCACTGACAAGCTTTGTTCGAGGATGACTGAATAGCAAACGTGCCTTAAAAAGCTGGGGACAGTGTGACATCCAGAGGGGAGAAGAAATTTTTACATTTCGGAGTAAAGTTCCCCTTTCTCTTTCGCTCTCTCTGTCTCTCCCTGCTTCAAAGGGATAAGGTCCACTGCTGGGCATGGGGACAGAGGTGACCAGGCAAGATCCAGGCCTTCAAGGAGGCATCATGTTGTTGGGCATTAGACGGAGGAAATCGGTGTTTATCGAGGACCTACTATGCCCCAAATAACTGGCCAGGCGCTCTCACAAATGTCATGTCTTTCAACCTCTCACAAAAAGCCCTGCAAAGGCGGAGGGGGTATTTGTTTATTTCTTTATCAGGCAAGGACCCTGAGGCTCAGAGGGCTTGAGAACGTGCCCAAGGTGCCTTAGAAGGAGGCAGAGTTGAAATCTGAGACCAAATGACCCCACTCCCCTTCAGTCCAGTGTGCCCCCCAGAGAGTCCAAGGCAGGGATCCCAAAGGTGACTCCAATCCAGACGTGGGTGTCTCTGGCATGGTGGAGTGGGAAGGAGAAAAGGCCGAGCTCCCAAGAGGAGGAAAGCTCCGTGCTGGGCTAGGACTGATGGCAGCCACCTTGCTCGGGTGCCAGGCATGCCCCAGGGAGCTTCCCATGGCCGTCTCATCAGCATTGGTGCCCGCAAGTAGGGCAGGGGTAGGTGGAGAAGGCTTAGCTCAGGCTCGACTCCGTCTTGGTGCCTACACTGTGCCTTGGATCTGTGGGAAGGAGGCCACTGCCCCAGGACAAACTGAGGCAGCGTAAGTGCTGCCGAGTCAGAGAGGCCAAGGAAACACAGGCTGGACCGGAGCCCCACAGCTGCAGGGCAGGAGGCAGCGGAGCAGTCGAGGTTGGAAGTGTGCAGGTCAGGGCTGGGCATGGCTGGGGATGAGGGGAGGAGTGACTTGCCAAAGTGGGGCTGGAACTTGAGAGCAGGGTTAGGGGCTCCCTCTCGATCCACAGCCCCAGGTGCCCAAGCCCAGGCTGGGTAGCTAAGCAGCCACATGTGGCCATGGCTGAAGGGCCTCCTGGGCCTCTACCTCCCTGCGGTCCAGCACGGAGAGCCCGACTGGTTTCCTCCTCTTCCCTGCAGCTCACCCTCGAGAAGTCTCTCCCCCGCTTCACCCTTCCTCTTGGCCAGGGCGGGTGTGTGCTGAAGCTGTCCGGCTCTCCCTGTGGCCTGGATAGGCCTGGCCTGACGTCCTCCTGGGTCACTTCCTCAGCTCCTGCTGGTGTTTCCCAGCTGGTGCCTTCCAGCTACCCTGTTCGAAATGGCATCACCCGGTTCCTCCCGCATGCCAGGACTCTCAGCCCTGCTTTATTTTAGTTTTCCCCTCAGCACGTTTTGCCTTCTAACACACTATCAGATTTCCCTTTTCCCTGTGCTTACTGTCTGTTTCCCTTCTCCCCCTAGCACGTGTGGCCAGAACGCTGCCTGTCCCGTTCACTGTGGTATTCCCGGCGTCGTCCCTGCACACACGAGATGCTCCAAAGGATATTTGTTGACTAAACAAGTAGAGGGAAGAGCACTTGAATGCAAATTGAAATTTGGATTTCCAGGCTCTAGTGGGGACCTCAGGTAAGTCTGTCCCTTTCCCTCTGAGCCTCAGTTTCCCCTTTTTATAATGAGGGGCTTGAGCCTTCAACTCCCAGCTCTGATATGCTGCACCCTGTGACTCAAGCCCTTGTCGTTTCTCTGGAGAGGAAGTAACGTGGCGAGAGCAAAGCTCTAAGGAGGTGGAGGGTGAGTCAGCTGGGAGCTGGGTGGCCGTGAATGGTGGGGGGTGGAAGGGGGTTCAGGTGGAGGTGGCCTGGGGCAGGGAAACCCAAGGGAAGATGATAAAGAGGGTGAACGGCAGCAGGAGGCCGCAAGGGGAGGACACATTCCAGAGAGGGAGGCAGGACTTGGCGGCCAGATCTAGGGAGGGGAGGAGAGAGAAGAAAGAGATTGATTGCTGGATTGGAGCCTGCGAGGATGGAAGGACAAGGTCTCCTAAGGCGCTAGGCCCCAGGCAGCCAGCTCTTTTGTCTTTTCGTCATCCAAATTCTTTCTCTTAGCCCTATAGAAAAGAGAAATCCCAAACCATCCAGTTTAATACAAGGTTTGAATTTATTCGTGAGTGTTCAATGTGCAATGCCCAGAAGTTGACAGATGATCTTCCCAACCCTCCACCCAACCCCCATACACACAAGTCCCAGCTTCCAGGAGCCAGGACAAGCAGGGTGCGGGCAGAGTGGCCTCTTGCCAGAGCAGAACCAGGAGTCTTGGTAGCCGAGGGGCAAGTGTGCCCGCTGGGGTGGCCCCTGGCTGGACCTGTCCTGGGCTTCTCCTCCCATCCTCTTCTCTCAAGGGTCTCTCAGCCCTGCAACAGTCTGAGTGATCACGTGGCCCTTCTCAACCCCACTTCCTGTCCCTGCCCGGGCCGCTCCCAGCCATCTCTGTGCTCTGCGAGCTCACCTGTCAGCTCTTGGAGCTGGTGCCCTGGCTCACGACCACAGTCCAGTCCACTGGCTGGACGTGTCCCCGGCCTCTGCCCACGCCAGGCTGCAGCCCAGAGGCTGCCAGCTGCCAGGAACTTGATGAGGAAGATGCAGGCCAGGAGGAGAAGGACGGAAGTGGGTGGGAAGTGAGTCTCTCCTGCCGAGGTGCTCCTTGGAGAGACAAGGAAGGCAGGTGGGAGCCTTGTGGTGGCCCATAGACTGGAATCTGCCCTCAAAGAGGGAAGCGGAGAAACCAGGAGCTTCTAGGGGTTCAGGATACCTTCCCACCTGGACCGCCCTGGGTTGGGGCTTTGTGGGGCTTGGGGGGGCCTGTAGCAGGAGACCTGAGCTCTAGGCGTGGTCTGCCACTAACCTGCTGAGGGCCCTTACACACGCCACCTCCCCTCGCCAAGCAGTTTCTGCCCTACACAGGGGCATGCCATGTGGGGGAGTGTGCACGAGTGTGCGCCCAGCGTGTTACATCAACACGCTTTAAACACCGGGACACAGGCATGAACCAGTCAGAACCGATTCTGGTCCTATCAAAGGAGCAGGGGTCTGGGAGTCCCAGTTTTATACTAAAGTACTGAAACTACCGTCATTGCTGAATTGTGGGGACAGACATCCCCATTTGGGGGCTGCCAGGGGAGAGGCAGGAGGCTGCCTATTGAAAAGTCTCTGAGCAGCGGCTCTTTACAAACTGTCAGGGAAGTCTTCAATATCCTGACAATTGACACAGTCACACCAACACGTGCTGGCTGGTTGGAGGGGTGTTTAGGCGAGACACATCCAGGCCTTTTCAAGTTCTTACCTGCCTTGGAATTTGCAGTTCAGGACCCCCACCCTCCACCCTGTGCTGGGCTCTGCAGGGCGGAAGTCTGCTCAGGCGTCTGCCCAGCACCATACCTGCCGATGCTGTGCTCCACATGGACATCTTCCAAGCTCTCGGACTCCCCAGGGACCCAGAGATCTCCAGAGGCCAGGGGTTCTGTGGGAGACAGAGCTGTGGGCATCCAGCCCCCCTCCTCCTTGAGGCAGCCGGCCCCAGCGGGGAGAACCCCTGGGGCTCTGGTCCTGTGTGGATGAAGTCATTAATCTCTCTGAGCCTCCATTTCCTCACCTGCTAAGAACACCTCCTCAATACCAGGGTTGCCAGGATCCAACGCCGGCACCTCTGGATGTGCCCAGCACCTCACAAGAGCTCAGTACCTGCAACTCCCACCCTCCCTCCAAACAGGGGCTGCGAAGGGCAAATGGAATCGTGAATGCGCTTGAAGATCCTGGGTGACATGTCAAGCTGTCTACGCAAGCCATGGGTTACTTTATATAGTTGTTTATCTGCCACCTCTCGGGAGCCGGCTGAGCCTTAGAACCTGAAGGGCTGAAAATGCATGTCTTTTGCTGCTCCCCCTTAGAGAAGTGGGGGAGGTGGGGTCTGTGTATAGGGGTGGCAGTCTCCCCTGGCCTCTCACCGCAGGCAAACACCACTGGACCCTCATTTCCATGGGAAAGGGCTATATTAAGAATAGGAGTTGGGAAAGGGGGAGTCAGACAAGGAATCTGTGACCCCAGGTTTGCTCTGTGGAACACAGCTGTGTTCTGGTGACTCAAGCAGAAGGCTTCCCCGGAGGATGGTCCCCTCGCAAAGCACAGGGGTAGGAAGGAGCCGCCCTGTCTCACCTACTCAAGCCAGGAATGAGAGTCCCAAGTCGGTTCAACAGTAGGAGGTTCAGAGCAGGGTATCACTCCCCCCCGCCAACCCCCAACAACTCCCAGGAGCCCTGTGGGGTCAGCAGGACAGACATCATCGTCTCCACTTAAAGATGAGGAAACAGAGGCCCAGAGAAGTGGAGCACGTTGCACAGCACAAGCAAGTGTTCCTTTCTAGGGACATTTTTCTGTACCCAGTTGGTGCTTAATTTATGTTGATAGGGCCATTGTTTGGTTGGATGAGGAAATAAATTAATCTCCCCATCCTTAAGGACCACCTATGGTCCTCACAGACTAAGCAGATGTCGAATAGATAAAGCGGTTTGGGGAGCAGGGCCAAGCCTGGCTCAGATAGTGCCTCAGCGCAAATTAGAGAAAGACGCCCTTTCTGTAGGCAGTGCAGCCCTCACCAGCCTGGCGAAGAAGGAGTCTAGGCTGCATTTTGGCCCCTTTGTGCAGTGAGCAACCTGCACAACTATCCATGGTGGCCCTAAGTGGGGGGACGAGACCCACACTGTGGGTTTTCCCCAGGATCCTTGAGAGCCCAGAAGGTGGTCCTGCACAGAGGCCGAAAACATGGGGCCTGTCCCAGAGGCAGGCCAGAGGTGCAGCAGCTGCCCACTCACCTGCCAGCACCTCCACCAGGACCTTCCTGAGGGTGTCGGCCTCACTGCCACGCAGGCTCTGGCACTGGTAGAGGCCCGTGTCGTGGGCTTGAAGATTGCGCAGTGTGACGGTGAGGGTGCCGCCCAGGGCATCATCTGCGATGGCTGTGCTCCCGTTCCGCCTCTTCAGGAAGGAGAGCAGCCACACGCTGTGTGTGCTGACCACACGCTGGCACGGGCCCTCCTCGCCCAGCTGGCGGCACCAGGCCTTGCGCCTCCCCCAGTGCTTCAGGGAGTCATAGGGGCAGGAGACCTGCAGGGACTGGCCCGCCACGCCCAGGAACACTGTGATGTTGTGGGCTCGGGACAGCTCTGCGGAGAAGACACGCATTCACTCCTTCATTCATTTATTTCCAAATATTTATCGAACATCTACTATATGCAGTGAACCAAACGACAAAATCCTGCCATTAAGGAGCTTAGGTTTTCATAGAAGCTGGGAGAGGATGGCACAGCGCAGGCATGTGTTTGTGGGAAACAGAACCAGGAAACCTGGGTCCTGGATCCGGCATTCTCATGAAACTGGCCCTCTCTGGGCCTATGTACAGAGACACTTGGTCTTAAAATCTCCTTTAGTTCTATTCTGCTTATCTCCTCCCTGGCAGATGCACCTGGACCTCCCCTCTCCCCTGTGCATGTTGAGAGCAGGGCAGATGGCCCTCGCAGGCCTGGGGCTGGTTCTACAGGGACCAGGCTGGGGCCCCCTGTCCCCCCACCAGGCTTGCCCTGCAGCTGCCCACACTGGTACCACCTCCGCACTCTCCTCACTCCTGACCTTTAGCTTCCAGCTTCCCTATTTCTGTGGCTTTGTTCCCCTTTCAGGAAAGACTTGTCTCGGAGCTATTTTGGGGGATACATGTGGCTGCTATTTTGGGGACCCTCCTTGGGGTGGGGGAGATGGGCTTGGAGCACCAGCCTATTGCCATGGCAGGGCTGCAGGGGAACCACCCAGAGCCCTCTGCTCCAGCTTCTCCTCTGAGGCCCCCTCCACCCCATCCTCAACCATTGCTGTGACAGAGACTTGAAAGATAGCACTGGGGAGCTGGTGGCCTGCCTTTTGGAACTAGAGAGACCTGATAGACAGTGTCCCGCTCCACACGTCACCCCGTCCATCCTCTGCCTGCAGGCAGGCCAATACACCCCATCTTTCTCCCTCTACCTCCAGCTGAGAAGCTGTGAGAACAAGACTGTTTAGGAAAGACAGTCCCCCGGTCCCCCAGGTTTGCCCAGTGCTCTGGGGGAGCAAGAGGTGCAAAGTCAGTTGTAAGAATTTGGGGTGTCGATCCCCCTGACTCAATGACAGAAGTCTTTAGCCCCCTCACCTCTCATCAAGAGCAAAGGACAAAAGGACCCTCGGGGCAAGGAGGGAGTGCCCCAGAGATGCAGAGTGACAGCCCTGGGTTCTTTCCTCTTTCAAGTTTTAGGGACTCATAATTCGTGGCTTATGAGTTTAGGGGTGCTTACCAGTGCCGCCCCACTTCCCCCAGCTACCAGCTAGTGCCCGAGCGTCCCTCCCATACAGCCAGAGTCCACCAGCACCTGTTCGTCCACACAGGTGAAAAGTCTGACGGTGGGTTTGACGCTGGGGAGGGAGGGAGGGTGTGAAGGATGTGGGCAGGGTAGGGAGGTGAGGGGTGCAGAATAGGGCGCTTGGGCTTCAACCTCCTTCCTAGTTCAGCTCAGTGCCCCCCTACGCCCCCACCATTTGCTCCAGGAAGGACAGGGAAAGAAGGCATCACGGAGAGCGGCGGGACCCTACCTGTGACGAGGAGCAGGACGAGCAGCCAGAGAGGCCCCATGCCGCCTTCCCCACTGAGGGCAGACACAGGGCGCCTTGTGCAAGATCTCCTCTTTCCCTCGGACTGCACAAAAGCGAGGATCAGGCACATCAGGCGCTGCCACAGGAACTGGGCTCCCGGGGATTGAGCAACAGTCGGGACTGGGGTCTGGCTGTATGATTCAGGGAGGGCTGCGGGGGCGGGGGAGGAGGAGTCGGCCACTGCGGCCCTGGCAGAGGGAGGCTCAGGATCCCAGACCTCTGAGGAGCCAGCCCACCCTCCTGCTGGTGCCAGCCAGGGTGGCCCCCGCGTGCCCGGGGCTGGCCAGGGCACAGAGCTGCTTGGTCTCCTCGCAGAGCACTGTCCTCCCAGCCGTGCTCAGACCTCCCCAGCTGCAGTCCCTGCCATTTTCTGGTTCCAGCCTTTCAAGGGAGGGGGAGCAGCCGCTCCTCTTGGAGGCCAGGACCCTCACCTAGCCCCTCTAGTCCTTCCCTCTGGGGCTGGCATCCCCGTAGCAGGGCAGCCTGGCTTTAAGTCCTTCCCTCCTCACATGTCCATAGCCCCTGTGTGGCTCAGTAGCTGGATCTGTGAAATGGGACTAAGGATAGCGCATGGGGTTATGGAGAGGATAGAATAAGTCAAGTACAGGTAAAGTGCTTCTGAACAGGGCCCGACACACAGTTAGCTCTCGGCAAATATTAACTATTATTATTACCCTAGTTAGCAGAAAAAAAGGAAAATGGGCTGTCTGCGAGAGACTTTTCCACCTGGAATTTCCTGCCCAAGTTCTGTCTCCTTTACACAGCTGGGCATCTCCAGTGTGCATGTGTTCGCCCTGGCATTTGTCTTGTGTGCACACACGCTTGAACTCCCAGTCATCCTACAGGAGAGACACATCCTTGAGTTCAGGGGTGGGGTGTGTTTTTCTACAGGTGCACGTCCCCATGAAGGGTGATCCAGGCACAGGCCCTGCATGTGCAAAGGCACTAAGGT